GGTACTTGAAAATTTCATTTGTTATTTTTAACCAATACCCTAACACCTATACAAGAGGGTCTGTAATTTTCAGACTGTTTGAAATCCAATATGCCTGGATTTTTTTTAAAAAAAGAGGGGTACCAAGTCACTTGGTTGCACAATCATTCAGCAAGAACAGACTGAATGGGATCAAAATATTAACCAAAAAACACAGATTCATATACATATCTCCCACTATTCATTTATTTATTTATAGTTATATTTTTCCTCAGTTAGATTGGGTTCTCCTATTCAAGAGGGAGAATAACAGAGGGAAAATTATTTGTGAGCAGTCAACTAAAGCTGTCACCATTTTGTATGAACAAGTTTTCACACAGATGGAAAAGCATTATTTTAAGAAATACTCAAAAAATTCATCATCAGAAGCCTTTCAAATATGCATGAAAGGGCAACAGAGGGCAAGAGAAGAGAAATTAACATGTCTTGGGGAGGCAAGTGTAGTGGGAATCTTCTCTACTGGATATTTTTAGCACAGTTCATGTGGTATAAGAAAACAATAGAGCCATTGCAAAGAAGTTCCTTACCCAGGTGAAATAATTAGGTAAGACTGGATTTACTTGACAGTCAGGGTTAAAGGACAGTTTCATCTAGAGAGATTGTAAGTTCTTATGAGAACATAGCTCTACAGAAAATTTCAGGTAAAGAAGAAGCCAGCTGTTAGAAGGTCTAAGCTATATCCTTTAAACTCCATCCTAAAATAGTCCCAGTCATACTACTATAAACACAGCTGAGAAAACTCTGCAATCAGTAACAATAAATAAGAATTTGAAAGATTCTTTTTCAAATAATTTCTTCCATATTTTCACTGTCACAAAATTCTTTAGGAGCAACATATGTTCTGTGCTAAGTTATTTCTTCTAGTGAAAAAAGTAGGAATCCTACCCACATTAGCCTCTGTATTCTTATATGTGACAATATAATGCATCTCTCTAGAGGAAAATTAGCACAATCAAAATTAAGTATCGTATAAGGATTATTGTTGCTAAACTAAGTATAGGGACATGTTTGCTTTCAGTTTTAAAGTGTACCAAAGGTTTCTCATCTGGTGTCAACAGAAAGACAAACTGAACCCCCAGCTGTAGTCTCCTTGTACGTCTTTTTGAGGCAATTCCCACACAGCACTACAGTTTTACTCATCACAAAAGCTTTCTACAGAACTTGAGGTAATTAAGTCTTTCATTAATAACTGTATGCTTCACTTTACCCTAATATTACCTAAACTGTAACATACCTCAGACACTGAAGTACATACTGTTATTTGCTATTACTCTGGGTAGTCTTATATGTAAGCAAAGATAAACAGCTTTAGGTATAGAATGACAATAGAATAAAAATTAATTTGTTGAGGCAATGCTTCAGACAAAGGAAGATCAAATGAAATCAAAAATATTCATAGGAAAAAACCATCTCTCTCCAGCCATTCCTAGCTAAAAACATATTTTACATGCATGTGTACATATACATACATGTGTGTGTGTGCACTTTTGTGTATATTCACACACTGAAAACTTAAAGCATTTTGAAGAATTAGTTTCAATTAATTTAACTGTATCAGCATAAATGAGAATGTCTTATGATAACTACTAATTACTAATTGATGAACTTAGGTTTTGGTTGAATTTATAGCACTGAATATTTCAATATGCTGAGCAAGAGTCTTTTAATACAGCTGATCTCACAAAACAATTTAAATTATTTTTTATATTCCCATAGAAAAACAACAATTCATTATCACAGTGGAAGTTCTATCAGTCAGAAAGATTAGTTTAAAAATTTAACTTTGATATTTTCTGAGTTTTGGAGCATTTATCAATAAGACCTGAATTTCTGTTGATGCAGGATTTTTTTTTCTTTTTTTTTTTTTTGTGCAGAATTTATACTCATTATTTGCTTCTTCATGTTTTGCTGTGTCATTATTTATACCATCTGTTGTATGTGATCTGCAGGGAACCAGCAAGTTAGGCAACTATTTTGCTGAAGAAGAGCAGAGATGATTCACTAAATAGGTTAAGCTATATGAGCTAAGAAACAGGATATTTTAGATATACTTGGTATGTGAAGTGTATTTTTATTATGATACTCGAATAGCATAAAGTACAATTAGTGGTCTTTAGACTTTATTGATAATAGCAAATAAGAAAAAATAGATCATGATGATGTTGGATAAGACCATAAACATGACTAGTTTGGGGACTGATTTAAAACATGCATTCAAAATATATTTGTAGACTTATATTATCAGAAGTATGATTAGTGTTGAAAGACCTCAACACCCAAGAATAGTTGTTAACCAAGGGCACTGATTACTGTCACTGATTTTTTAAATAAACATACTAGTAGATCAAGAACAAAACCAAATCATACAATTCGAACTCAGTGATACTGATGATTTTCATACGCTCCACTCACTTGTTATTGGAAAAGGTAAACATTTTGGTATACTCATAAGGTGCAGATATCCTGATATATTTTTTGTTAGAGGGGAAACAGCAGCACAGTAGATTGCATCAGGGATTATAATGTGAGAACTATTAAAAGAGCCTCCCAGCACATTAAGAGTTGGCTTATACAAAGTAATTTATGTAAATAAATCGGTAAGGTAACATTCAGAGTTGGTGTAAATTTAATGTTAAGAGACACTCAAGTAAAGTCCATTCTTAAGAGGAACAGACTTTAACTGAGATGAGTGAGACAAGCAAGATCAGCCTCTTAGCTGAAATGACAATGTGTTTATTTCACATGGAACACTTGAATTTTACAGATATTTGATTATATTAACAGCTGATCTAAATGCTTGTCTATCATCTGCCCAGGCACCTAGTCTGTGTCTAACTACGCTTGTGATGGGTGTCAAAAATTCTCAGGAATTTATAAACTCCAAATGTGATTTAATTAACAGGTGGCCAGGAATCACAAAGTTCTATTTTAAGCATTCTGTCAGGTGAAATCATGTCAAATAAAAGAAGCTTCTCTACTAAGAAAATGAGTATTTTACAATGTATGATAGTTTACTACCATCATTAAAAATTGTGCATGACTCCTCATCATACACAATCCTGGAACAATTGTTCAAAACAGTGAGTGGCTCCAAATCTAGAAACTATGCAATGACTCTAAGACATGCCTTGGCCTTTCAACAATATATTAAAAGAGGGGAATTGATTGTATTTCTTTAGTTATGTATAACTGCCTAATTGACAAGTCGCTGCACACAAAAAATGAAGTATATTAATGATAATGATTTTTGAGTGCTCATTAAACTAGAGCATAACTAGAAAGTTATCTTGGATTGAAGCAGACTATTATCATAAGAGCTGTTTTTAAACAATGCTACCTGTGCCTCTGCCTATTCCAGAAACCAATGTCACATTAGGACATGAAACCACTTTCAGCTATTTCCGAATAAATCCATCAGTAAACAAGCCCTTTTAGCCTACCTTCTACTTTGACAGATTGTCCAAGAAACAAATTTGGTCAATAAAAACAAAATGTTCTTTTTAAAAGTTAAAAAAGTCACGGCTGACAAACACAATGTAACTTCTAAACAACTCCTTAGTTTCATGTCCTGTCTCTCTCCTCCTCCCACAGATCCAGCTTGCAAGATGCTGACCAGTAATGAGATACACCACACATCCATCACACCCACTGTCTCAGGGGGAGGTGAGAGCACACAGGCTCTCTGGCAAGACCGTGTTCAAACTCTGGATATAAAACTCAGAGGAAGGCAACTATATATATGACGAGAATTTATCATTCCTAATACAGCTCCTGGCTTCTACCCTGCCATAAGTAGGCTGAAGCAGTACTAAAACAGTGAGCACCAAAAACAGCCGGGTACAGATTGATCCCTGGAAGGGAAGCAGTCAAACAGACAGTAGTTTCATAGGAATATGTTACGATGGTTACACAGCAGCTTATGAGCAAGCATGAAAGTTGCTGGTAGGAGTCTTGTGCTACTGCTCCCACAGGAACCACAGCTGTTATGGTGCCACTGGTCAGCTTCACTACCATGAAGTGTTTTACACTTCCTAACTCTCGTGGTGCTCCTCAACGTTAAATTTACACCAACTCTGAATGTTACCAAATCAATTCATTTCTACAAATTATTTTCTATAAGCCTACTCTTAATGTACTGGGAGGCTCCTTCAATTGCTCTCACTTCGTATTTCCTGCAATCTACAATGCTACGGTTGTACATTTTTCTCCTCCAACATAAAATATATCATGACATCCACACCTTATAAACACATCAAAATTTCTAGCATTTCCAACAGCAAGCAGATTGCATGTTTTCAAACCCAGATGAAAAATTAAAAGGGAAAAGGTAATAAGTATTGCAAAGAACATAAAAGAAAAAAAAAATAAATCATTATTTCAATTAGTGTACAATAAAAATTTACTCCACATTTTCCATTTATTTTAGCTGTTTATGTAAGAATCCTAACAGTATAGCTTAGCATGACGGACACAAGAGTAGCAGAGGGAAAATGAAATTTTATGAGATACCTTATTTAAATTCAAAAGGTTGGTTATCATGTAAACATATTTATAAAAGAAGCATGGTCGAGGCTACTGAGTTTGAATACATGAAGTGAGATATTCAGATTATGCAGCTTTAATGGCCTAAGAAACTTACAAGGATAGTTCCACATAAAACATTGTCATTTGCCTCATTTAGCTTAGGAGAGAGCCAGAGCTAAGATGTCATTGCCTTATTCAAGCCAAATGAAGTGAAATAAATAGGAAAACTAGATGTGATTATGGTAGGTAGAATTTTAAAAGAAGACTGAGTAATTCTTATTTTAAATTATTTTGACTGAGTATTTTTATTTTAAATTAAAAATATAGTAGGAACTAAAAACTTGGGAGCTTGAACCCACCTCAGTTTCTGTTTCCTTGAGTGACACGACTGAGTTGTAAACAAAAAGTAGTTTTACAATGTCTACCATTACGACAACTGTATTTATTTTATTTTAATAGAAAAAGGTTGCTGCTGACTCAGGTTTCATTCCATTTACTTAAACTTAGCCCTGTGATATTTTGCAACTAGAAACATTGTAGTCATGCCAAAGCACAAAGAGGAACTAGAAAATGCAACCCATTTAAAAAAAAACAACAACCTGAAAACCAATTCATTAAGTAACTGGTAAAGTGAAACGGCGAAGCAAACAAACCACATCTATGGTGAAAATGCACAAAAATATTAAATATTAAATTGGCTTATATTTTTGCCATCTGAGGTATATAAGCAACACAGATAAGTTTTTTTTTAAGAATATATGACTTTAATTTTGTCCCTTGAATGATAAATTTACAATGAAAAAGACATGTCCACCATAATTTTGAAATACAATGTAGTTACCACCTTTACGCTTTCCTGCAAATGCCTTTCCATTATATTTGCTTGTGGCAAAGGAGTAAATTTGACAAAAATAAATTCTTATGCACATCCACCCTTAAGGGATTAATAGCAAATAAAACATTTAAAATTAAATAGATGAAGATAAAAATTCTATTAAATAAACATCCCTCTTGGATCTCCTCAAACAAGGTTTTTTTCACCATATTGTCTAGTATGCTACTCTTAAAAAAAAACCCCAAAAAACAACCAAACCAAAAAAACAAACTTAAAAAACTGAAGAAACAAGATCTGTTTATTGAGAACGAGGCACAAGGATACAATTGACATTGGCCTGATATTTTACCTCTTGTTGATTTGAGATAATAATTTTCCCAATGTTCATTATTGATGTCAGTCCACCCCTAGAACTGTGAGGCCATTTGTGTTGGGAAGAGCAATCGCAGTGAATATATGCATGGCACCTGTGCCAGCTTCTGGAACATTTGTTGATCCTCTGAGGCCCCTCTCCCGCTTAGGCCCCTCTCCTCAAGGCTGTCAAAGACGCTTGTGTCTACTCCTCCAATACTTGCCACGGACAGCTCAAGTGGGAGATGGTTTTATTTAATTTGGAAGAGGAAGAATTTGCTCTGCCATGTCTCTGTGCTCCCACAATGTGTACTCAAGAATTAGTGGACAAATAAATAAATATCAGATAAAAGCACCCAAAATATGGTAATAAAAAGAAAGGATATATTTTAGGGTATGGTCAGAGAAGATATTCAAAGCCTCCACTGTTGCTTCTAGAAATGTCAGGACAATTCAGAAATGTCAGTTCCTTTACCGGTTTCCAGATTGTAATTGAAGGATCATGTAGCTCTCTTGCTCTTTCTCCCTCTTTCTCTCTCTCTAAATAGGTCTATAAAGATCAGCTGGAAAGTGCAGACAGAATTGTTCACTGGTTAGCTTTACTTAGAGCTACAGGGTATATATGTGCTTTGTTTTGTCTTATTGATCAATCTAGCTTACATTTTTAGCACACACAAACAAAAACCAGGAAAAATAAAACGTTGATGAAAAACACGAACAACACAAATAAGGTTCCAATCGTGCAAATTTTGCTTCACTGGATAAAGCACTTCTTGACACAGTAATGTCCAGAATCCCCCTCCCCCAGAAAAATACAGGACTGAGACTGAAGCCATTCTTTTTTTTTTTTCTCCTTTTTTTTCTTTTCTTTTTTTTTTTTTCTTTTTTTTTTTCCTTAAGGCTATACAACACAAAGAAATAAAGCATGGAAAGAACACCTCATTGGGCTGAACACTCCATTCTTCTGGCTCTGGAGTGAGCCTTTGACAAAGTGATTTTGTGGTCCGAGTTATTTGTTTCATTGGGACAACAGCAAGAGAAAGAAAAACAGGAAAAAATGAAAGAGAGGAAAAAATAGAATAAGAAAGTCAATGATCCCAACAATAAAATCCAAAATTGACTTTACAATCACAGGTACAAATTGCTCAGGTCGATAATTTCATTTCTCCTACAGATCACTGTCGTCTAAAACTAATTAGAGGCGCAGGTTCCAAGGAATTGTCAATATTCAAAGCAAATGTTGGAGTTTAGAAGGTTATCATTCTTCTACTGTGACAGTCTGACGGGGTGACTGAAAATATTGTCATGTGCTGCCAAGTTCAAGGTGTCATTAACAATTGAATCCTTGCTCCGGCTCATGGATCTGTCTCCTATTTGGCCTTCTTTTATAGTGGAAAGACTAAGAAGCCGGAAAAGGTTGAATATTTCCACCCTCCCATGAGGTTACCCCTTTCCAGTTTGAGATGCACTTTGTCTTCTCTTTCCATGAGGAGCAAGACCCCATTGCTGGCTGCTTCTCTGGTGACGTCTTGATCCCCTGCAAAAGCTGAAATCACTGGGTAGCCGTTTTGCATTAAACTTACCTAAAAAGTGCAAAGAGACAGAATCTGAGTTTTTTCAACACTCTCAATGATTCTTTTTGCCCTGTGCACATCACTAAACTTTTGTACAGTTTAGAATCTAGGTTAAATTAAGATAAGGAAATAGGCAATGTGTGATTTCTGTTATGTATACAGACCCCTTTAAAAATAATCCACAGTCTTGTTCTTCAACTGCTGTTTTTTTGGTTTTTTTTAATATGAGTCTAGAAATGAATATATGAAGAAAAAGAAATTAAAAAAAAAAAAAAAAAAGGAAAGGAAAGACAGCATCTTCTTTAGATTAGAACCCACCTGGATGGTTTGTCTGTTATAGACCTTGACCACGTGGAAACTGAAACTATATATCCCTTTTCTTGGTGCTACAAATATACTGGAAGTAAGATCAAAATGGTTGCCAATATTAACTAATACCTGGAGTGTAAACAAATAAAACAAAACGGAGAAAAGGAGAGAGAGAGAGAAAGACAGAAGTCAGAGAAATCAGACTCCACCTTAGAAAAGCACCAGCAAAAATCTGACATGAGCTCAACGACCACATAAAGCATACTCAAAATGGCATTTGCAGCACAATTAAAAGTGCATGGCAGGGGAGCGGAGTGAAGTTACAGAGACATTTAAAAGGCATCAGAGTTAATAAAGCAATTTAGTTAAGCAAAAATGATCTCCAAAGGCTGTTTAGATGAAGTGCAAATGTCCACACTGAGCTGTCAATAAAGCAAAGGTGGCATAAGGAGGAGGGGGAGGAGTGTGAAATGGGGGGAAGGAGGGAGGGGAAAAAAGGCAGGAAAAAATACCTAAAGTCATTAGCTCATAATGAAAATGTATGTTTGTTAGATAGCACTACTCAGATCAGAGCTGGCCTCCATTTTAATAGGGTATAGAAGTAGAACTGCTCTGCAGAGAGGGGCAAAGGAGGAAAGCGGATGCTCAGCAACAGCAACATCTGCCAGCTCATGTCTCTCTGTCCCTCTGGAGGGCCGTGCCACTTGGTCCACACGCTCCTCAGGAAGGCTGGGGTGGGCCTGTTCCTCCTTCCCGACAATAACCTTAATTTTTCATGTATTTCAATTTTTTTAAAACACGAAACAAAACAAGAAAGGAGGAAGAGCTGAGCACTCCGGCAGATGTGCAAAGCCTCGTT